TTGCTGCTCCTTTTGGTGGTACTGCTGCTGGTTTTGTTGTTGCTGCTGCTGCTGCTGCTGCTGTTGCTGCTGCTGCTGCTTTTGTTGTACTTGTTGTTGCTGCTGCTGGTGGTTTTGTAGGCGCTGTTGCTGCTGATTTTGCTGCTGCTGCTGCTGCTGTTGCTGTTGCTGTTTTTGTGTTTGTTGCTGCTGCTGCTCTTGCTGGCGTTGCTGCTGCTGCTGCTTTTTCTGCTGCTGCTGTTGCTGCTTTTGTCGGCCCTGCTGCTGCTGCTTTCGTTGCTGTTGCTGCTGCTGCTGCTGCTGCTGCTGGTGCTGTTGCTGCTGCTGCTGCTGCTGCTGGTGCTGCTGCTGCTGCTGCTTTACGTGCAGGCTGTGCTGCCTGCTGCCGATTTGCTGCTGCTGCTTTTGAGTTTGTTGCTGCTGCTGCAGCAGGTGCTGCAGTTGTTGCTGCTGCTGCTTTTGTTGTTTTTGCTGCTGCTGCTTTTGTTGCTGCTGTTGCTGCTGCTGCTACTGGTGCTGCAGTTGTTGCTGCTGCTGCTGTTGTTGTTTTTGTTGCTGCTGCTTTTGTTGCTGCTGTTACTGCTGCTGCGTTTGTGTTTGTTTTTGTCGCTGTTGTTGCTGCTGCTGCTGAAGACGGTGCTGCTGCTGCTGCTGCTCTTCTTGCTGCTGTTGCTGCTGCTGCTGTTTTTGTTGCTGTTGCTGCTGGTGCTGCTGCTGCTGCGTGGCGTGCTGGCGCTGCAGCTTTCTGCTGCGGTGTCTTCGCCGCTTCTGCTGCTGCTGCTGTTGCTGCTGCTTCTGCTGCTGCTGCTGCTGCTGCATGTTGTGCTGCTGTTGCGGCAGCAGCCGGGGCTGCTCTTGCTGCAGCACCTGCTGGAATAGGTGCAGCTGGAGCAGCTGCTGCTGCTGCTGGTGCTGGTGCCGCTCGTGCTGCTGCTGCTGTTGCTGCTCTTCTTGCTGCTGCTGCTGGTGCTGCTGCTGCTGGTGCTGCTGCTGCTGGTGCTGCTGCTGCTGGTGCTGCAGTTCTGTCTTGAGCTGTTGCTGCTGATTTAGCTGCTGCTGCTGCTGCTGCTGCTGCTGTTCTTGCTTCTGGCGCTGCTGCTGCTGCTCTCCTTGCTGCTGCATGTGCAGGTGTTGCAGTTGTTGGTGGTCTTTCTGCTGGCTTTGCTGCTGTTGAAGGTGCTGCTGCTGCTGCTGCTGCTGCTTCTGGTTTAGCTGCTGGTGCTGCTGCTGGTGCTGCTGCTGGTTTTCGCGGGGCTGCTGCTGGTTTAGCTGCTGCTGCTGCTGCTGCTGGCTTAGTTGCTGCTGCTGCTGCTGGTGCTGCTGCTGCTGCTGCTGCTGCTGCTGCTGGTGCTGCTGCTGCTGGTGCT